CTGTTCAAACTTTGCTTGACACCTTTGCTTAGCAAGACACCTACATTGCGAAGTTGTTTAAGTCATGTCAGATCTAATCTATTGACGGTTTTCCTCCATCCTAGAGGGATTCAGGTTCGACATATACATACATATATGTGTGTGCGTGTGTGTGTGTATCGACACTTAAATGTACATATTGAACTGGTTTTATATTTACATATATACATGTTTCAGTATGCCTATCAGGGTTGATATGCTTCAATTTCATGATATATGATATATATATATATATATATATATATATATATATATATATATATATATATATATATATCAGATGCAGAAATCATTCAAGATCATTCATAATAGCATTGCCCTACCTAGATACATGTGGGAAATAAAAGATGAAGAGTACACCCAACCAAAGGTAAGATAGAAAATAGTAAGGAAAAGAAAAACTTATGCAGGTGGAAAGAAATTTTGCAGATTTTCCAAGGAGGAAAATTCGGGGAACTTAATGTTTGTGAATCTGTGTTTTAAATGAGAGAGTGCAAATAATGAAAATACATGAAAAAGAAAGCATTGAATAACTAGAAAGGAAGCCAACCAATATGAAAACTCACATCTGGCCAAGAAATATGGAACACTCACATCTTGCCCAAAAAACAGTTAGAAACAGTTTTCTATATTTAAGTTGCAAACTGCAAGGACAACTCAATAAAGTTCAAACCTTGACTGACAATCACACATTTTTAGGGTGAAACTTGAGTTGTCTTGGTCTTTTTTTCATTTTATTTACCTTATGTTTTATAGCCTCTACTTTATATTGAGCACTTTTAATTTTCAACTTTACTTTATCACAGAGTTTACCAACTCTATCTGTCTTTTGTGTTATATATATATATATATATATATATATATATATATATATATATATATTGTACTCTCCTGTTGATTTTGATGTATGAGAATCCAACCTCATTCCATGACACCTCAGTCTCACTAGTGACTTACATTCAAGTTCACATATTGTTCAACACTGATGCTCTAAGCTGGTTCCTTCTCCGAGACTGGTTGTCACCCAAGGCTACAGAACCCAGTCTGTACAGCTATTTACTCATTATATATATATATATATATATATATATATATATATATAGAGAGAGAGAGAGAGAGAGAGAGAGAGAGAGAGAGAGGACAGAGAGAGAAAGAAATACAGTATAAAAATGGACACTGTGGTCAACCCGAATAGCAACAGTCAAGGCACGAAGACTTCATTCAAACGTGAAACTGTTGCCGCTTGGTATTGACCTCAGTGTTCACTTTTATATTTACATATGCTCTATCTCTGATATTGGGCACTTTTACACATAAATTTAATATACCTGAAAACTATATTTTTGTTTTATGTATGTATGTGTGTGAGTGTGTGTGTGTGTGTGTTTGCATGCATGTGTGTGTACTGTCTGTCTTAGCTTTCTCTCGTCTCTCCAAATTATAGTCAAAATTTCTAGGGTCATGTTTTATACAAGTTACAAATGTTTTCACTTAACAACAGACACGAGAAGTAATTGTCCAAAGGGCCTAAAAGACATTTCTTCTCCATTCTCTTTCATAGAACGTGTTTCAATAAACAAATGCCTACTAATTGTACTATGTTTCAAATAGATGTGAACATATAAGTATTTTAAATATGGTAAGTAAATTATTGGCATTACTAGTTTACTTATCTATATGTGTGAGTTTCTGCATATGTAATCTCAGGTATTTACCACAATTGCGACAGATAAGTATTTGATTTTTAAATATAAAACAATAAGAAAAGAATGCAGACATAAAGTATATTACTGTAAATTAAATTGTTTTCCACCTTTTTTTTTAAAAAGCATTTCACCCCAAACAAGGTTGGATGCCACTAGCATGCAAGGGATTACAGAGAGTGGGAGCAAGAGTAAAGAGGTATGATAAAATAAAGGTGGGAAAGAAGGAGGGGGAATAGATCAAGGCATCTGGAGATATCGATTGACATTACATTTGAATAGTTGGAGATTATAGATATCAGGGAAATAAGTAATAAGAAGGAAATTCCACAGATGGGAAGTGCAAGAGATGAAGCTATTGGAGTAGCAGAGACAGCTATATTTAACTGTTTCGACAGTGAAAGGGTGGGACCGTGACACCAGCCTAATATCAGATTTATATTCATGCAGTCAGGAAACTAGCAATAGTAGCTCAGTTGCCATGAAAGTATTTGTAGAAAAGACAGAGAGACGTGACGGCATGTCTGTGAGAGAGCGAGTGTAGAGAAGATGACAGATCAGGGGCAATCAAATTACATTCCCATCTCTGGATTTTGTCGAGGACCTTATGCCGAACAGCAGGGGCACCTGACCATATATGGCAGCATCATAACAGTGGAATATCTCATTATCTAAAATGGGGTCAATCATAGGCTTGTCTGATAAATATCTAAAACTGCAATGTTTTTTATTAGATCAATAAAATATTATTATTATTTAAAAAATCTCTTTTTCACCTACTTTTGTTTTATAAACACTTGCCAAATTCTATCCAGTGACCCAGGGCAGGAGAAGGATGCGATTTTTTGTTGTTTTCAATTAATTAAACGAAAGACACCTATTAACAAAAACTTATTATTATCATTATTTCCTCTGATTTCTGTTGTATACTCATTTCCTTCCAAGCAGAAACCTAAGGTTAGAAATGGCATTATGATATTTTCATTGAGTATTTTGGTAAGAAAATAGAAAAAAAAACATGCCAACTTAATATCAGACATATTTTACATAGATAAAACCCTTTAGATGTGTCCTGGGTAAGATGTTAAACTACATTCGGGTCCTGGGTAAGACGTTAAACTACGTCCAGCAGCAAGGCGTGTGATCAGGAGGCCTTGAGGAGCGTGGAACCACCTCTTAATTGCTGGTGTTCCCAGGTCCACCCTGACCTGGGGTGGTAGCACCTGTTAGGGTCCCAGCTATGGGAAAATAGTTAACTATTACCAGCAATAGGTTTTTGAAAAAAATTATTACCAGCAATACAATTTTGAAAGAAATATATTACCAGAGACAGATTTTTGACAAAACAAAATATTATCAGCAATAAAAATTTTCGTCAGCATTAAATAACCCATTGAGGTTGATATGATGTAAAACAAAATAAACCAAACCAATCTAAACCAAAGAATACATACTCTATTCATATGAATCTATCCTGAAAATGTTGTCAGCATTAAATAAACCATTGAGGTTGATATGCCTTTAAACAAAATAAACCAAAACCAAACCAAACCATTTTGAAGGTGGGAGCTGTACTTGTGAGTACAATGTCTTGTATTTCTTTAAAGATTGGGCTACCAGCAATCTCTTCAGAAGACTATCAGAACCTTCCCAATTATTATCATTATTATTTATCTGTTAATTCTGTTTTATGCCAAAAAGATATAATTCACATTGATAATACTTAAAATGCGATTTTAATCATAAATCTTAGCTTTTGTGTCCCTCACAACAGGAAAAATGGGAATAAATATTTGGATAAAATTTTAGTTTCAAATTATTCCCTCTTTGCTTCTTTCTTGTAAGTGTGGTTTATTTCTAACATTTAAGTAATTCATATTATTTTAATTATTAATAAGAAAACAAGTTCTTCATTCCAGTAATCATCAATATATGCATTGTTAAACAATCATCACTGAATTTTAACAAAGTTTTAAAAAGTTAACCCTTAGCATGGCGAAACAATTCTTCACACACAAATGTTGTTTCCCCTTTAAAATAGTTAATATCAGTTAGACTGCATTTGAGGTATTTCTTCTATTTCGAAAGGTGTCATGTGTGTCTTATCTTCTAACAAATTATCCATATATATATATATATATATATATATATATATATATATATATATATATATATACACTATGGTTCAAAAGTTTGAAGCAACCCCAGCATTAGCATGGGATAACCTTGGGAGAAGAGTGAAAAAAAAAAAATTAAAAAAACAGTTTTTAGAGTCATTGAAAAAAGAATGGAATCAGTTATCAAACTTATACTTTCAAAAAGTTTTTGCAACAAATGCCAAAAATGTGTGCTGCAGTAATCAAGGCCAAAGAAGGCTATTTTGATGAGAGCAAAAATTAATTATAAAACTTTTTTTTTCTTTTTGTCATAATAAATTTTCTAATGCAAAATCATGACTCACCTTTTTATTTTAACCATGTTATAAAATTTTCTCTTATTTAAAATACAAAACAACTACTTTTTGGCCAATTTAAAAAATTACCAGGAGTTTCCTCAAACTTTTGAACTGTTGTGTATATATATTAATTATAAAATATGCAAAAGTGGGCGCCTGTATTATAATATGAAAAAGCTCAATGTAAAATGTAAAACAAAATACAGAGCTTAAAATATAACAATAATAAACTTTTCAGACATGTTACCCTCTGTTTCCGTTACTGACAGTTTAATTTAATTTTGCAGTCATCTGGAGTCTTTAGGGAACAATGTACTTATATTCATACATTGTTATTTCTTGCTGCCTGATAATTGCAAAATCGCATGGGTTTGCCAGTAGGCCCTGCAGAGGGGTACGTGCTTGGTATGCTCACCATATGATAAATAATGACGGAAACAAAAAAATTAAAAAAATTAAATAGACACGGTGTTATTTTCACTATTTACATTGGACGGATTATTGCCCTCATCTTTATTGTCATATTCACGACGTTTCGGCTGTTGTACGCCCCGGCCTTCTTCAGATGATATACGTTTGAATTTCAAACCGGACCCTTTATTTCATTCAAGTATATCACCTAAAGAAGGCCGGGTCATACAACGGCCGAAACGTCGTCAACATGATATTCAAGATGAGGACAAAAGTCTTAACAATGTAAATAGTGTAAAGTAGTTACAATACCACATCTCAGAAATATAGATAGATATTAGAGATGATGTTGTAGAATTATCTGAAAGAATTCCATTATTTGGTTTATAAGGTTAAGACATTTCTTCTTTCAGAAACATCATGATAGTATTTCTTCTGTCAAAATGCCATGAAGCAGCAAAGCTTAAGCAAGAGCTTTCATTATACACTCTCGGTGTTTGATATTTACAAGTGAGAATTTTAACGAACGCCCTTCTGAATGCCGTGTTGAACATTGTATAAATGAGAGGATTGGCCAAGGAAGCCACATAACCCATCCATAGGAAAACGGACATCATCTCCGGCGTCACGTTACTCATGCAATCCGTACAAGTCGCCGATATAATATTGACGATGAAAAACGGAGTCCACAAGATCACGAAGATTGCGAAGATAATTCCCAGAACCTTCAAAGCTTTCTTTTCGTTACTGGCAGTTTTGTTGCTGAGAAGATGGCGAAAAGCTTTCTTTATTTTCGGCTTCTCGTTGGCCTTCCTGAGATGCTCTTTTAGGAAATTACGGAACGTGCGAGTCACTTTGTTGTGGTAATCTTTTTTGCGATTCGAATTCTTGGTTCCGGTCGGCACGTTTCCGTTGTAGGCGACCAGCTGCTGTCCTTCAGGATTTTCCTCTGGAGTGTTACACGTACTTTTCACCTTGTTCTGATAGCTGTCCGTATTGACAACTTTCGCCTGAGATTCGGCGTCCTCATCTTTTTCGGATACAGGCTCTTCGACCGAAGACACAGACACTCTCATTGGAATCAGACCGTTTTGAATTGAACGGCAGTGAGCTGCCTCATCTCCCGCCTCGAAGACATCATCATTTTCATTCTCGTTTTCATCGACCAGCCCGATGAGACAAGGTAGAACATCGTCCGGCATGCGGTCGTAACTCTGTTTGGGGTCAACGCTAATATTGTTGTTAAGACCGTGATAGCTATGATAGTGGCTACCTTTTACTAATGAAGAAACTTTCCATTGATTTATCTCCATCAGATGCGAATACGATTTTGAAGAATACAGTGGCAAAGGAATGGGGGCCTCCTTAACATGGTCTGCGGAGGGTACCCTCTCAAAGTGTACTTTAGAGCAACGGCGTCTTTGGAGAGGCAATTGCAAGCTTTTCCGACGCATTTTCTTGGGGTCAATCAAAGGTGGAACCGACTCAGAACCGGGACGCGTGGGTGCGTTACTGGTCCCTTGTTCCGAGCCGAGAGTGCAGGTTGTGATCGTAGTTTGGGCTGAGTCGAAAGAATTGCGAACACTGTCACACTGCGTCCAGTGGGCCCTGGCTGCCCTGATCTCATGGTGTTGAAGCAGAGCTTGGGGGATATCAACTTGTCCGATTTCGCTGATTCCGACGATATTGGTATCTGGTCCTTCCGTTTCTGACATAACTGCACGGTTTGGATTTTCAGGATTCACCTCAGGTTGCGACCGGGAAGTGACAGAATACTCTTTCTTGACAACGACCGCTTTCTCGGAGGGTCTTCTGTCAAGTTTCTCGATGCGAGTCATCAGATTCTGGTTATCCCACAGGATCTGTATTGTCAAGCCGTAAGTGACGATCATAATTAGGAGAGGAATATAAAAGGCAAACACCGAGCCATAGATAATGAATGTGGGTAGTGTTGGAACACACTTACCCTCATTGAACACTGTCCGAGTGTCGAGCAACCCGTTAATGCTGATCGGACAGCTGACTGCTATAGAAACGAACCATACAAAGAGAATTTTCACACATACCATGTGCTTTGTCTTGTTGCGACCATAGCGCATGGGGTACTTCAAGGTGAAAAAAGCGGTCCATAGACATCGTGGACATGTGCCAAATGGAGGCGGTGCACATCAGACGTCTGTTGTGATCCAGAAGAGACACACATGCGCACTCATCGGGAAGAAACCTATAAAGAGAAAAACAAAGATATATATATATATATATATATATATATATATATATATATATATATATATATATATATATATTATGTGTATTTAGTGAGAAAATGTTTTAAAACAAATATTTTTTAAAAAACAAGACTTTTTCCGTCGATTAATTTTACTGACCAACTTCTTCAGATAACGAATAATCCTCAGACAATTTCTGTCAGAAATTGTCTGAAGTACATTTTGGAAGAAAAGTACAAGAAATATGGTCCCAGCTTTCCATGTTCCTAAGATAGTTAGAGACAATGGGAAATTTCGTAGAACTAAAGAGTACTTAAAAGTAGGTACATTAAACTTCATAATATTTTTTTACAGATTATTTCTATCGCAAATACAAATAAAGTTATAATTTAGTGCACCCGAACTTTATGGACACGCTGTATAGTGATCTGAATTTTGTGTTCTGTAGTATTAATTCTACATGTTTATTAATTCTACATGATTATTAATTCTATATGATTATTAATTCTATATGATTATTAATTCTATATGATTACTACTCACTAGTGAATGCTCTGCATTGACAAGGAATGAGATTATATTAAAAAGTGAAGATTTACTGTATAAATTAAATACTCTGGCTATTGATATACTTATATCTATTTATATCTGACGAAATAAGCATCAAATTATTTAAATTAAACAAATAAATAAAAATAAGTAATTAGTAATAAATAAAACCTTTTAATTTTATTCAGAAGACAGTATGGTTGGTTGTCAGCAAAATCCAAAATATGAATTATAAATTGGAGATATAAAAATTGAAATATCTAGGAAGTTTTTTTAACCGTGGATTGAAAATGAGACACAGAAATCCGAAGATGCATAGCAATAGTGAAAGATGTCTTCCAAAAGCTAAACAAAGTATTAAGAAACAGGAAAATTTATTGAGAAACACAGAAAAATGCACTGAACTGTTAGATAATATTGATTCTCCTATATGACAGAGAATGCTAGACAATCTTCTCACAGATGGAGAAGAGATGATTCAACAGAATGGTTATAGAGAAGGATGCTGAGGATACATTGGACTGAATATGTAAGTAACAAAAAAGTTTTACAGAAAATGAAAACAAAAAAGGATGCTTGCACATAACATCATTAAAAATCAGTTGAAATTTTTAGATTTTTGTGGCCTTGTTGGGGTCAGAATAAATACACAAGAGTGAATTTGAGTTAACGAATATATTAACGAAAATCGGTAATACAATAATATACAAATGAGCAAGAATGTTAAGTACGAACTGTCAGAGGTGACTGTTGGGGGGAAAAACACTCCTCTGACTAAAACAGTACCTGCTTTTATTTGTAACTTAGGAGAGTCCATCCATGTATGGGTAATTTACCATAACACTAGGACACATGAGGAAAGAGAGCTTGGAAAATTTGACACTTACAGGGACATATTGAAGGAAAGAAGACAGAGGAAAGCAGTGCATAGTGTAAATGTTTGACAAACAGATATTAGAAGAGATAGTAAAAAAGACAAATTTACAAAGAGGTAATGTTAAGTAAAAATAAGCCACAATGGCTTTCCCAAGAAACCGAATGTTGAGTAAAAATAAGCCACAATAGGTGAAATTTAAAATTTCGTTTTTCTGACTCTGTTGATGATCAAACAACTTCACACTTCCATTTAAAATTTATATGAAGTGAAGGGAAAGGTGGGTTCATGCCTTCCCAAGAAACCGAATGTTAAGTAAAAATAAGCCACAAGTGAAATTTAAAATTTCATTTTACAGACTCTGTTGATGATCAAACAACTTTATACTTCCATTTAAAATTTATACGAAGTGCAGGGAAAGGTGGTTTCATGCCTTCTTAAGTGCACACGTGCTGTATGAATTTAAACAGTTTTAGGTAAAATTTGAACATGGTTTGCTGAATCTATTTCCAATGTGTGTAAGTCTTTCATATGAATAAATAAAATCAAACAAGGGAAAAAAATATTTTTCACTTTTTATTATCTGTTATCAAAAGCGTATAAAAAGCACCCACTCAACTCAAAATGTTAGTCAGAAAGGCTATCTTTTAAATTCAGCTCAATTTTTTTTTGTTTAAACGAATAAAAGAAATATTCTTTATATTCTTGTGCTACCATTATTCATTAGATTCTTTGTGCGACAGACAACATGCCTTATTTTGTTCAAACATTGTTTGCTGAGAGCTGAAAGATAAAAACTCTCAATCACTTTCTCCAAGATGCATACAGATCGAGAAATATGAAAAAGAGTCAAAAGGCTGGGGCCTGTCTATGAAAGGAGACAGAGATTAATAGATTTGATTGTTCCACTTGCACCTATTTGTCTGTTTTCTCTTTTTATCAGGTCAAGGCCAGATAACAACCTTCAGAGATAACAAGAGCTTAATATTGATTTTTAGACAAAAAAGTGAAAAAAATAAATAAAAATGAAACTGTATATATAATAATAATATATATATATATATATATATATTAATACTTATATGCACAAGAACAAAACACTAAACAGGTGGAGGCTGTGCAGCAAACACAAACTTAAAAAGCCAAAGATTTCCAAGGTTAGGTGAACCTCTCCACTTGGGAAATTGGTGCCGCATGATTTCCAGCCATTTTACTGATTGTCAAATTAAGCTATGTTTAGCAACAATTATTTAATTCAATTTAATTTAATTACTCTATGTTTAGCAACAATTATTAAATTCAATTTAATTTAACTAAACTATGTTTAGCAACAATTATTTAATTCAATTTAATTTAATTAAGCTATGTTTAGCAATAAAGTATTTAGTTCAATTTAATTTAATTAAGCTGTTTAGCAACTATTATTTAATTAAAATTAATTAAGCTATGTTTAGCAACTATTATTTAATTCAATTTAATTTAATTAAGCTATGTTTAGCAACAATTATTTAGTTCAATTTAATTTAATTAAGCTATGTTTAGCAACATGGGTAGGTTTTATTTTAACATTGTCCACCAACAATGTAATAATGTCACTAAGACTACAGTGTTTAATGAGGACAAAAGAGAATGAGAATATTTTAGTGAATAGAAAGGATGATAAAAGAACAGGCTTCAGGAAGACAGAAGATTGAAATTGACATTGGATTCAAATTTTAAAAAGACTGAAAAGACAGAGAGAAACCTCGTCAAGGTGGTTGGAAATTGATTGAAATTGAAATGCCAGGTAAGGACTGATAACATTAAGAACCCTTTTTCATATTTTTTCCATAATCTCAAGATATATTACAGAATCTCCAGAAAGAACTGACAGACAGATAGACAGACAGACAGATAGATAGATAGATAGATAGATAGATAGATAGATAGATAGATAGAAACAATTTGTGATTTAGATATGAACTGATTTATATATATATATATATATATATATATATATATATATATATATATATCAAAAATACTTTTACAAACTTTTGGTGGTGTGTTTGTCATTTGACTACATTTGTGCCTTGACTGTCATCAATGTTTAACATGTATAGCAGTGAGTTAACTGAATATATATATATATATATATATATATATATATATATATATATGATGCGTGGTTTAAATTATGATTGTACTTGTTTAGAATCATATTTTAAGTCACACACATATGTGTATGCAATTATTATTATCTTAGAGGGAAATGTTTCTTTGTCATGTCAACTTTGAAATTTATCACTGAACCGCAAATGCTCTTAAAATCTGCCTCCTAATAACCGCGTATAGAGATTGAAACCAACACCCACATATATTATTCCTCTTATTCCGCCTCTTCTTCTGTATGTTCTTTTATCTACTAAACACAACTAGGTTTCGCAAATGAACATGGAACACCCAATCAGGCTAAACGTTACTATTACTGAACAATCGCAGGATATTCATATCGCGAATAGCAGATACAATTTTTACATATGGCTGCGAATTGCTAATGGATGCACAGCTTTCTTTGAAAAGCAATAATAACAATAAAAATTGCATTATGAGCTCTGATGAAAAAAAATGAATTGAGATATTAAGTATATAAATCTCAGTCATTCATACACTGATGTCTTCCAGTGGATAAAAGTGCTGGTTGGATCCCATGATTAACCCAATGAGTTGTGAGTTCAATACACAGCTACTGCAATGGTGAAAAAGAAAACTTGGAGAGTTGACTTAAAAGATGAGGTGTGGCACATGTAACAACAACAATCTCGCTCAGTGGAGAAAATAAAGGGTTCAGTTTGAAATTCCAATCCCCTTAATTACAGTTGAAATATCATGAATATGGCATTAAAGATGAGGACAATAGTCTGAATGATGTAAATAATTACAATACCTCATCTAAGAAATATAAACAGATATATATATATATATATATATATATATATATATATATATATATATATATATTATAAATTTACTAGTTTAAGTATATGGTTCCATCACTACACAGGAATTACCATGTTTCAAAAACAGAAACTAAAAACTTCAAATTTAATTATAGAATTAACTTAGACTCCCTAGTACTGTTTCATTTTCAAGCGAATTTTGGAATAACTTATTTTGAAATTTACTGAGTTTTATAAGAACATACATTCTTAATATTAGTTGCTAAGGATATGGGGAAATTCAAACATTTTGACAACGGGTTATAGAGTATTCATTTTCACTGAAAACTATTCTATCAAAATATGAGTTCCTTTCGAAATGAGGTTGGGTTAAATCAGGGTAGGTGTCCCTGTTCAACAAATGATAACATTTATTTTTCGCATGTCGTCTGTTTTTTTTTTAATGACAAAGAGTTTTTCTGCACTTTTGTTTTGCCATGAAATTTATAATTGTATACATAAAGATTTTTTTTCCAAAAGGGTTGTTTGAATATGAGTACATTGTATTAAAATATTTATGCTCTGCAGAATTGTATTGAGCACTGTTTTTTTTTTTAAATAAAAATAATTAATAAGAACACCGGATTATAAATCTTACTGTTCTTTCTCTTTATTTTAATATATATATATATATATATATATATATATATATATATATATATAGAGAGAGAGAGAGAGAGAGAGAGAGAGAGAGATAGACTGATAGATAGATAGATAGATAGATACTGAAGATTGTGAAAGATTATATATATATATATATATATATATATATATATATATATATATATATATATATATATATATATATATATATATACACGCAGAAAGAGGATTTGATTTCTTTTTCTTAACATTGGCAAGAGAGACAATCCCACCATGGGATGCCATTGAGAGGTGTCTGACAACAATACCACAGGTTGATCCAAACCCTCGAAGAGAAATCAAGTAAATTAGACTGTTTGGAAAGCAACAATGGTTATACTAATATAAAGTTAGAAATCATTGCATCAAGGTACTGGCGCACACCAATCATTTTTAAATAACAGGTCAGACAGTGCACTCACACTAGAAGTTGTAACGAAAATCTGCTTAGCATAGCTGCAGTTTAATATATTTATATATATATATATATATATATATATATAGATAGATAGATAGATAGATAGATACATAGATAGATAGATAGATAGATAGATAGATATTGTGTATATTTAGGCAGTAATTTTTCATTAATGTGTGTTTCATTGAATAATATAGACAAGTTTTGTCTATTTATTTTAAGTAAGTTCCTTTCATATTGTCTGATAAGCTTAATCACATTATCGTAGAAAGACGAAAGGAAAACACCATATTGATAAATGTTTAAATCTAATCTAAGCTTTCGGCTTTGACAAGCCATTATCAAAGATGACAATGTCAATAAATCAAACAACACACGGACGAAACAACAATGATAGTGCGCCTTGCTGCATGAAAATTTTCAAGTAACGACAAACTCGTATATATGAGACGCGGAAGTGAAAATCACATCGCAGCTCGTGACGTCGCACATGAGAGTGAAAAATGAGAAGTATTAAGCTTATCAGACAATATGAAAGGAACTTACTTAAAATAAATAGACAAAACTTGTCTATATTCTTTAATGAAATATGCATTAATATATATATATATATATATATATATATATATATATATATATATATATATATATATATATATATATATATATATAATATTAATTATTTGCTGATTGATTCTATATATGATTATTTCTTTATATTTATAATATATGCTGCCTAATATTATATGTTTATAAAAAACAATTGATCCCGCAGTATGAAATTCCTGAGAAAAAAAAACTACAAAGACATATCACTATATTAATTGAGCTATATATTTAGTTCATGTCATGTTAACTGAAAAACACTTGTAAAAAAATTCATGGATTTACGATATTACAAAATTCATATAAAAATTCTCACTGGAAATTTTGAACTTTAGCCTTGCAACTCGCATGTTCTGAGATTGTACAACCGTCAATAAATAGCACATTCTTAAAAAAAACATCTTTCGGGCTACAAACAATTATTTCGTCTTCAAGTTTTAAATTTATAGGAAAAAAATTACAGCCTGATGATGGAGACATGGTCTTCGAAAGTTAACTTAAAAAAATATACACTAGAAACATCTGAAAACTGTTTTATAAATGAGGATCATATCATTCAATGGATTAACAGTATTTTAATGCATACATTATGTTCTAATAGCGAAGTGATTTCACCATTAATCACATTAGTATTGCTGATTGATTCTATGTATGATTATTTCTTTATATATATATACATATAAATATAAATATGGATATATATATGGATGTGTGACTGGTGTGATGGATAGCAGCTCGGAATGAGAAATTGAAAATACTTCTGGTTTTCATTCTCGTGTGGTCATGTGTGATGTAATGAGATGCGATTTTCACTTCCACGTCTTGTATACACGAGTTTGTCGTTGCTTGGAAATCATTCATGCAACAAAAACAGACTATCATTATTGTTTTGTGCATGTATTGTTTAATATATTGAAATATAATCGTCACCTTTGATAATGGCTTATGTAAGCCGAAAGCTTAGATAGGATTAAAAACATGTATTAATATGGTGTTTTTCTTTCATCTTTCAATGATAATGTCATTAAGCTTATCAGACAATATGAAAGGAATTTAATTAAAATAAATAGACAAAACTTGTCTATATTATTTAATGAAACATGCATCAATACATATATACATATATATATACACATATTTGTATATATATATGTGTGTGTGTGTGTGTGTATATATATATATATATATATATACATACATATATATATATATAGATACATATATATATATATATATATATATATATATATATGTGTGTCTGTGTGTGTGTACAAGTCTGACATCAAGTTGCCCAAACTTATTATAATTTACCATTTCTCTGACTTTCTTGCAACTCATTCTCCAAGTACTAATCCTGTAGTCTAATCTTTTCATATGACAAAAATTCGATCCAAATGTTTAGTGACAGTTATCATTTGTTTCCATAAATTCAAATTACATTTGACATGGTAGGTGTACAATAAATGGGTTAGAGAGTTTTGATAAGTTTGAAATCCATATCTTGAAATCTGATTATCTGACATAAGAGATTATTTGATTTAAATCCAGTATTATACAGGTCAGAGCAGAAGATTTAATCCTCTATGTCTTAATCACTGACCCTTTATCTGCATCTCTCTCTCTCTCTCTCTCTCTCTCTCTCTCTCTCTCTCTACATATGTGTGTATGTGTTAAAAGATTTCTGAATGTTAATACAGAGGAACTTCGGTTCTTGAATATCTCCAATGTCAAACAAATTGGTTTCTGAACAGAAAATTCGAGATGAAAATGCCTCAGTTATACATGAATGTGTTGTGCCATGCTTTTCTTTTCCAATTTTATTGAGCTGTGATTTTTTTCTCTACATTGATTCCCATTGGAAAAATAGTTTTGGTTTATGAACATTTCGGGTTGCAAACGGCCTTCAGAAATGAATTAAACTCGTGAACCAAGGTTCCACTGTATACACAATGCTGTGCAAAAGGAAGTGAACTCACTATTTACATTCTTCGGACTATTTCGTCATCTTTGTCACCATATTTATTACAACGTTACAGCCATTGTATGCTCTGGCCTTCTTCAGGTGGTTGGAATGTCGAACTGAACCCTTTATTTTACTCACCGGGGGAGACTGTTCTAGTTCCATCTGCCATGTTTAATGGATGTCAGTTATCTCTTGTTAATTCCCCTCTGAAAGTTCTCCACTGCCTTAACTGGGTATTGAACTCACACCCTTTGGGTTCTATCACTGGATCTAACCAACGCCTTTATCCACTGTACTATGTGTCCTTGAGGACCACCTGAAGAAGGCCAAAGAATACAATGGCTACAACATTGTA